GGCACCCGGGACTGGCGTAACGATTATTCAATTGCATTTATATCTCAGTTTCTTACTGGATATTAAAATTTAATTGTGATAAATAATTTCTCGTTTAGGACAATGTGTGAAAAAAGTACCTTGCCATACCCAAAGCCGGCCTATGAAAAAATAACCCTGTATGGTATACAGGAAGTAAACATGCAGTACAGTTTAGCTCTGAAAATTTGACGTCATAATTGGGCGGAAAAACTTCGTATAAGGAGTGAGGTGTTTGACACGTTTCTTGATTTGGGTCATCATTTGCCACGATAATTTTCTCAAGAAGCATCGGTCGTATTCAAATAATAACAATCGGTTAGGTCGGAATTAATTTCCGCGATCGCTGAAAAAGTTTGTTATTTAAATTGTAGACATTTATCAGTCTCAGCGATCCATCTGCGTAAGCCATTTTATCATCTTCATGTGACGATAATTTTGCTGGACTCATACCACGATCGATTTTTTTTTTTTTGAGACAAAGTTTTGCTTCTTCGGACATTGGAGTAATATTCTTCCTGTTTGGTTCCTTCCTTCTCTTCATTTCTAACAATAATTCTGATAACAATTTAAGAAGAGCTATTTTTTGTATATGTCACACACGGTGTACTAATATAGAATGATCACAGAGACATATGCAAATTAGGTCAATATTTATTGTTTTCGCACTAAGACGATTATCCAGAAATTAAAGCTGAACATACATCCTAACTTTTTTTTGAAAATGCCTTTTTTGGTGTACTGGTTACTATTTTGAGTGGGAAACACATCCATTGCATACAGACATACAAACGCCACCAAACTAGACAATAAACAAAAAATGTATAAAATAGTGACTGTTAAGTCTACTTCATTCTTAAATCATGTTTTCGCCGTCAACTTGGAGTGCCAACAAATGTTTGAATTCCAGCATTAACAGTAATACAAATAATACCCAATTATCATTTTTAAATGATGCATCAAGATGATGCTTTAAAAATATCTGACAAAAAGTAAATCAGAATTTGTTGAGTTTCAAAGAAAACAAAATAAGTCACTATTCAATAGACACAAAGACAAACCCAGAAATATATTGTAAAATGCGATCAATGTTTGTTATTTCCAGCATGTAAATCAGTCGATGTTACTGTACCTGTACCAATCATTGGGTTCAAGACTGACACAACATTATTGGAATGTACATATATTACTACTGGTGGAAATCCATTAGTTTATTGGTATAAAGGGAGTAGTACAGCTACAGGTACTCTAGTTATACAATCAGTTGGTGGAGTAATTTACCCAGAGCCTGGATTTACAAGACATGACATTCAAGATCAAGCTAGTTTAGTTATAACTAATACAATGCTGAGTGATGCTGGAATGTATTGGTGCAAAGTCATAGCATTTCCAGATGGCAGTGATGAGGATTCAGTCACACTCACTGGTGAAGGTAAACTGACTAATATTACATGTAATAGAAATGTAATTTTATCATCCAGCACACATGTCATGTAATGTATACACCTCGAAAGAAGGTACGTGTTTGTATTTAAGGCCACAAACGCATGCACCTCCTGACACACACCTTGCAAGTCATACCATCGTTGTGATGACACACATTGAATTCACTTTTAATTTAGTTGTGATATGAACTCGATTAAAATGCGTTCCCATATAGGGAATTTCAATGGAGTACAGCACGGAATTGCATTTTAATTCAAGTTTAATCAAATAGAGGTTGTATATCAGCCTTGGTTTAGTGAACCATACCTTCCTTCTTCGCTAAAGTACGCAAACTTGACTTAAATTCTATTCAATATTGTAATAACGAGATCATCGGGGAATTGTCACAAGAAGTTGGTAATTGTGGAAAAAAATTCATCAGAAACCAGTAATGTCTGTTATAAATACCGACACGTATATATTTTCAAGGGCGGACATCTGTGCATTTTCACTGCCTGGCAACCAACACCGGCAAAAACGAAAGCCAAAAAATTAATGGAAACAGTAATTTCTCCAAAAGTGTTACAAGACAACATATATATATATATACAATATGTATAAATGTGGTTACGCAATATTTACTCACAGTTGAGTTTATTCAGTTTTTATCGACTTCATCGGGTTCTCGACCGGCGTTCCACAGCATAGAAATGGTACAGTGGCGCTCGTCCAGGCTGCTCTGTCCCCGAGAGTATACTGCTTTTCCACCTGTTTAATTTATCATCCAAGCACGATTAGAGGCGTATAAAACATTTATACAAGAATTATTAGTATGCTTTAGTTCATCATTCAAGAACATAGAAAAGTTCAAGAAGTACTAAGCCAGTACTCAAATCTCTATACACATTAATAGAAAATTGCAGTCAAACTGTATTGTCAAATGAAGGAATTCTGACAGAACAATCATTACATAAATAGTAGACTAACCAGTTTTTGTTATGTGAATTTGACTATCCGTTATGTATAGTCATTTTAGTGAGGTTCTGTGGGAACGTGTGCGCTTGAAATTTTGAATTCGGCCGTCCTACTGAGCATGACTGGACCACGAGTATCACTTTTTTGCTATCGATATCTAAATTGCGACCAGTGTCATGTTAAGTGTTTTCAAATCAACGTTCAGAATGATATGCTACAAAATAGAAAAACAAATAAATTACAGTTAATTTGATCCGTGGTACATCGTGGCCATTCCAGGATGTAAACTCGTTCTTACAATTAAATGATTACAATTAGAAAAACAAATTAGTATATTAGGCCCATTTCATATGATATTTCAATCATGTGCATGCGACACAAAAGTTAATACATTGCCAAATATTTCCATGGTATAGCAAATTTAATATTTTTGGCAAATTTTTAATTCAATATCAGTATCAGTGTGTTTAAATCTTCGAAAATCATAATTATAGCATTTTACGCCTGACAAATAAATACGTGGAATCATTAATTATTAAGGACCTGGCGTAGAATTGGAAATCACTCCAAATATATAAATTTCCAATTCGGGAACAGGATAATAATAAACTTGGTTATTGACGAAATAGTAGGGCGCCGCCAGACGGTCTGGCTTGGCAAGTGCGTCGTGTTTTTCTCATGAAGTTAACGCTGACAAAGGAAGCCGCACATCCCGCCACTGGATAGCCGCACATTGTGTATGTGGTGTTTTCAAAGAACGTGGAGATGATCCGTGGTACATCGTGACCAATAATAAAGTGATTGGTTGTCCAACTGTGGGCGTGTCTTTATTTGTGTGCCAAATGTGCAACACCAAAGTCCTGCCATTTAATTTTCATGGTTGTTCGAACATAGTCATCTGTGCCAGTGTTGCTGCAAGGCATTGCGAAAACCGCGCAAATCCATTTTACCGCTGATTTACAGCGGGTTTCACACAGACACCAGTTAATTCCGTTACCCAATGGCTGAAGCAATTTCACATCGATCAGACACGCCCCAAAACAGATGACGAGATTTGACAGGATCTGTCAATGCGCATGCGTATAAAAAAGCTGGTACTAATATCCTAACTTATTTTGCCCTCGTACAGTGTATAATACATATTTGATTAGGTCGGTTGGCCATCAAGTGCCATCCTATGAAACCCAATTCATATATCACCAATACCATAGTACTGACTTCTGTAAACAACGAGTCAAAAATAAGACTAATATACTAAATTTGTATTTAATAAATTGTAAGGATGAGATTACATTGTGAAATGGCCATGATGTACCACTGATCCAATTTGTAATAAATAATGTTTTAAAGAAGCTTCGCATTACTGTTTACACTCAATGTTTGTATTCTCCACAGTTGCAACAGAACCATCTCAACCTAGTATAACGTTCATTGATGGCAGTATTATATCCAATGCAAGCAGTAAAATTACTATGCAATGTACATCATCTGGTAATCCTACACCAATTTACAGTTGGTTGAGAGAT